ATGTTTTGCATGCTGAAGTCTGAAATTGAAGGCAGTTAGGGTTTGTAGATCGGGTACGTTGACTTGAATTTTGAGGGTGTGGTAATATGTCGCTGCTTAGGTTAATAATGTCATGGTGTGATTTGAAAAGGAACAATATGTCTAGGTACTCGTGCCAGTAACACAGAGGTAGTAGATTTAATGTTGAGAGACGATGGTTATAGTTGATGTCACAGAAGAACGGTAGGTTCAATATGTACTTCGACGCACGTCGTTGAACGCGTTCTGTACGCTTAATGAGGTCAACAGTTTGTGGAGCCCAAACTTGGGACGCGTATGCGAGGTGGGAACGAACGAGGGTAAGATATAGAGTTCGACGAACAGAGATGGTCTTGATTTATCATGCAAGACTAACTTTTACCATAAATATTCTTTAATCTACCGGTCGAAGACTGCAGACTGGCAGTCGAAAGCTCGTCCAAATAAATATTTTTAACCAGTGAACGTTTGAAACCCTTAATATGAAGGCATGTAGTAAAACACTGACTACCGGAACACCGGAACACCACCGGAACACCGGAACACCACCATTTTGTTTGGGGTTAGGGTTTGGGGTTAGGGTTAGGATTGGGGGTTAGGGTTGGGGTTAGGGTTAGGATTGGGGGTTAGGGTTGGGGTTAGGGTTAGGTGGTGTTCCGGTGGTGTTCCGGCGGTGTTCCGGCGGTGTTCCGGTAGTCAGTGTTTTACTACATGCCTAATATGAATCCTGGTTTCGCATCTAACATCTTTAAACTTTTACCAATTTCTCAGTCAGTTTTCGTCCAAATTGAACCAAAATTTACTCGATTTGACCTTTGGCTAGTAACATTAGCCCCACAAATTTTGGTTTAAATACGTGTGATATTTTTTCAGTTGTCGTGCTAACATGCAGAAAACACACACACAAACAAACACACATACAAACCTAGGTGAAGCATAACCCCCTAGCAGTGGAGAATGAGTCTTCAATATGCAAAATGGTGCACGAGCAAACTGCTTTGTTGCACTTATTGTCCGCTATATTTATATCTGACAGGTTTACCTCAAGATCCCAAGGAATCTTCTGCAAATGTTGGTGCGACTTACACCCGGTGGGGGAAAAAGACCTGTCCAAATGCTACTGGTGCGACATTAGTGTATGAAGGTATTAAACAATATAATTGTTTGTATCATGTTTCTTACAATCAATCCTTCTTTTCTTCAGGGGGGGGGGGGGACCCGAGTACTGTTTGGAGACTATCGTTTTCAGAATACGCAGATAATACAATTTTAAACCTTTGGTTTTCGAGGGCTTCAATTATCTTTACCATTACCGGTGAAGATGTCAAACTTTTTTAGAAATATTCTTTTCCCAAAGTCAAGATGATCTTGGGAGAATATCGACCATGTATCAGTATTACTCCACAAGTAAATTGATAGGAATAATTATGTCACAATACATTACAACTGGTAAATTCAGATATCAACATAATCCGTGAATGTCTCTGCTTTAATTTCATGATCCAATAGCAGTGAAGCTTGTTTGCTGCTTGCAAAAAAATTTCATCCAATTTACAGCAAAAATATATAATAAACGAACTTTAATTGATTCGTGTCTGTGAAAAACAACACCTCTTTTTACTGACCGGAGCTTCTTATGTTCAACCTTACTTCGGGAAAAATTTTAGGTTTTCAAACCTTCGTCAAAATAATGTGAATTATGGCTTTTTCATTTTTCAAAATATATAAATTATGTCATTCAAAATCGGCTTCTTTTGTAATATTTCAACTCCGACTATGAGGACTGGACTAGATTTCAAATCACTACTTAAAGTAAGGTGAATTAATTTTGATCCAGTCCAAGGACTGAATTAATTTTGATCTAGACCTAGGACTGGATCAATATACCAGGTATCCAGTATTATCTTGTGAGCAAAATAAAGCAATATGATTGGCTAATTGGCTTAATTCATGAGAATTATAATGAGTTTGAGATTTATATGTGAATAGTATTTAGCATTGATCAGCTGGTTAATCGCACTGTGCTAACATACACATAAACAGCACCTTGGTCAGGATCCTGCAGTTATAACATTAGGATTTTATCACGATCCTAATAGGATCCTGTTGGTGCTAGGATCTTAACCGGATCCTAGTTAGGGTCCTGTTGTTGTTAGAATCTTTTTAGGATCCTAATTCGGATCCTGTTAGTTATAAGATTCTATCAGGATCCTATTTAGGATTTCTACCAGGGAGGCTCGTGACTGCTAGTAGATGTATATGTTATAATTGCTACAGAAATGTGGTCCCCAGAAAGTAGAGTGTTCCACATTAAACCTTCATTCACTGACCTCACCAGGGCAGGAAAAAAGAATTTTCTTCCTGGGAGCACTACCTGAAGACAACAATTTCCTGCAAACCAACGGAGTATTTTTGTGCATAAACATATAGTGTTCTAGCTGACCATGGTTTTAAATTCAAGAAATAATGTCTGTCAACCATATGTTGTTGCGCCCATAGTGGGACATGGGTATCAAGGTTTCCTTCAAATTTTCAATAGCAAATCTCCATTCAAACGAATTTCCTGCAGCTGTTTAACATTTCCTGCGAGCAATGCTGGCCTGCTCGCCTATTTTTTCCCAGTGGTGTCATGCAAGTAACGAAGTAAATGTACTTCGTTACTGTACTTGAGTACTGTTTTTGAGAAGTCAGCATGTAACAAAGTAAACTTTTTCTGGAGTACTTTTTCTTTCTTTTCTTTTCTTTTTTTTTTTTTTTTCTTTTTTTTTTTTTTTTTTTTTTTTTTTTTTTTTTTTTTTTTTTTTTTTTTTTTTTTTTTTTTTTTTTTTTTTTTTTTTTT